TGAATTAATATTGCAAGTATATCATTGTTTTAAGTAACCGTCTTTGTGGATGCTTTGTAGCTACAGCATCCTGATTATAAATCATGACTGTCCATAAATCATGGCTTTCCACATACGATTACATGTACATCTATTTCATTAAGGATATCTAGTGTCCTGTACAAAATTCCTACTCCGTCAAACAGCACCGGTCTTAAAATACACACTAATGGGGACATTAACTGACCCGTTAAATTTCTCTTAACCTTTTTACTTTTTTACTTCTACAATTGTTTTTATTAATTTTTGGTCCCGTTAAATTTTGCTTTTGAAACTTTATCACAAAACTATTTATGACATTAAAAACATCTTGATCTTACTTCTCACATGAGCGTCATGAGCAATACCAGCTAAGAAGCTATCATCTATTGTCTCCTCTGAATCTGGTTATTACCTGAAAGCATCTAGTAACTGTTTCCTTACATATTGTATCAAGATGTATGGGTAATATTAGATTTAATTTTCCAATAACCAAAATAGAATCAAACTATTGCTAGATTAAGAAAATTCAGCAGATGTCTGGTAATACCAAATTGTTTTTTGATAGCCATATGCTACCAAAAAATTACCAGATGAAGAGAAAAACAAAATTTATAAGAAATAATAAGACTAAAAGAACAAATTTATTTGTCTCAAAAGGACTAATAGGTAATATTTGAAAATCATCATGGCACATCATTATCATTAACCTTACCCCAACTATTTGGGATCAATGTTATGGAGCCGCATTTATTTCATTTGCTCCTATTAAGTGTTGTCTAATGCGTTGAATCTATTCTTTGCAAATTCTCTTGAACAGCTTCTATCCATATAACCTTAAGTTTACCCATTTTCCTTCCTAATACTCTGACAAATTTTTGTCAACTCAAACAATAGCATTTTCCACCATTAATTATATATGTATAAATCACCTAAGTATATTTTCAATCACCTTATCATCAATAAATGTCAATTTGACTTTTCTTCTAATATAATCATCCATTAATTTATAATTTCTAGTTTGCATCGTATATATTTTAACATTCTCATCTATGGCACACTTAACCTCAATATCAAAAACCTTTTTGCAGCCCAACATTCATATCTATATAGCATTGCCGGCCTAATTGTGGTTTATAAAACTTACCCCGAAGCCCCCATGTTATCCTTTTATCATGCAAAACTATTGAGCCACTCTATTATTTTGCATAATAGATCAAGAAACTTAAACCTATCAGACTTAATTATCATATTATATACTAATAATATTGAATGATGATTGTTACCATCATACCCACTAAAATTATATATCATATAATCACTCTTTATTCTATTAATTCTAAGATTTCTATCTTCTAAACAGATCTCCACTATTTTAATTTTCATATATTTTGATGAACATCTCACTCATTAGAACTATATCATCTAAAAAAACATGCGCAAACAGTACTCACAATTATTTGTAAGCATCTCTATCACAAATAAAAATGGATTTGAACTCAATGTTGATCATTGGTATAAACCAATAGTAATGGAAAACCCTTAGGATCACTCCACAACCACTTCTATACCAGCCAATGCTCCATCTTCACATTTTTAACGACGTCAATGTATATTTTACCAGCAAACCAATTCAATTCTTGTTATGTTTAATCATATATCTTCAGAAGATTAATAAATAATATAAAGATCCTTTCATTATTCTCTATATTATTTCATTAATTGTCTTGACACAAAATTCTCTTTCATAAAAGATCATCATGGCATAAAATCATATTGGTCTCCGAAATTGATATAATTTTTTGTGATATCATAATCTTAAACATCATCCTTGTTCTTAAATATTTCATTTGATTCCTCTTAGTCTTCAAAACTCTATTGCTCTCCAAATCTCATTAGGTATCTCAATTAGATTCAAAATCTTAAATTTATGCATACTTTTGAAACTAACATCATTTTCCTTTTTTTAGAGAATACTATAATATATTTTGCTATATTGTTCGTTAAGCTCTTCAAACATAATTTTTCTTAATTTTTCAAAATAACATTTTCATCTTTCATTAAAGGCATGTCTTCATCATTAATCAAGATCCTATTATCTTCACTTTTAATGCATCTAATTTGATCAAAATCCTTAGATCTCTTATTCCTTACCTTAGATATTGCATACATCTCATTTTCTACTTCCTTAGTATCAGCTTTTGTTTTATTTATTATCATCTTTGTAAGACTCTTAATTTTCTTGTAATCATTGTATTCCTCATTAGTATTTGATTTATGCCACTTTTAAGTCTCATAGTATTCAACCAACTTAAAATGATAGAATTAAAAATAGATTTAGGTAAACTCCAGGACTTAAGCGCAATTCTTGCAAGAAATATTGCATCATTTAAAGGATTGGCACTGAGATCCATAAGGAATATTACTTGATTACTGGAATAGATAAAAAAAGAATGCACATTTTTGCATAATCGGTACCTCTCTCATTGTCAGTGAAGCATTTTTACATTGCAAATCATCTATTTGTTCCTCTAAGTTAGCCTGCAAAAGGTAGAAGAAGAAAGATTGGTCAAGATAGAAAAATTATTAATAAAGAACAATATTATAAAGTAGCATTAGCATCCCATGCAAAAGCCCCAAATATTAAAAGTTGGGTGCAGATATTCTCTTTCGGGTTGTATTATGGGTGGGAACTGTAAAAATGATTTCTCTTGGTAGAAAGAAAGGGATTCTCTTTCTAGGCTGGTGAGATTTGTTAAAAAATCTCCCTCTTCCGGTTCGTTGTCCGGTCCGATTTTCACAACCTTGCTACCCGACATGACAAAGCTTAATTAAATCTTTCTTGATACTCCATCACAGTGCCTAACTGTGTCAATGCAAAGAATTGCTCATGGTAATCCCCATCCTGCTTGGCTCGAAAACGCTTCAACAAGCAATCTTTAAACTCTTCCCACAAATGGATCAAGTACCTCGTCTCCCTCAATTGATACCATATCTGTTCCTTCCCCTAAAGACATAGAGTTGCTTCCATAAGTTTATCACCTTCTTTTAACCTGTTTACCACAAAATACTTTTCCACTCTATATATCCACTCATGAGCATCCTCACATTCAAACACCGATATTTTCAACTTCTTGACCTTCAGATCTCCTCCGCCCCAATTTCCCCTTCTGCCCCCCATGCCTCCCATGAAGCGAGCATTGGGGTCTCTCTACGGTTCCCTCTCCTCCCTTCTCCTTTTGTATCCCCCTCTTCTTTCAAATTCAGTCTGCTTGTTTTCTTCTTCCCATTCCCTCCTACCTCTAGATTCTCTATTTATACCCCTTTTCACTAGAGGCTCAAGGTGAGGTATTCTCTCATATTCTCCTAAAATTTCCACAATGTCTTCTTCTCTCAGAATGTCATTTTCCAGCCCTTGTTTCCGGCATAGCCGCTTTGATTTGAAACTCCAACATCTGCTTCATCATCTCCTCTAGATTCTTAAATCTTCCTTCCATCGCTGAAAAATGCTCATTCAATGATCCCACATCTATTCGCAGCTGCCCTACTCCCCCCTCCAACTTTTCTTTCAACGCCTCAACTCTTCTTTCGACCATCGGTCCCAATAAATTGCTTTGATACCAATTTGTTAGAACTTGAACACCAAAAATCAGCGAATAAACAATAAATTTCAGCAAACCAAACAAATTTTATTTATAAGAAAGCAAACACAAACAAACAAGTTACAATGATCATGTTTCGAGAGGAGGACATTCTCTCCCAAACTCTAGACGCCACTAGAATCCCTTAATAAAATAGTGGACATCAAGAACACTCACAAAATATGTCTGAAGAAAAACAATACCACCAAAAGGACTAATATAAATGTCCCTATTTTGCCCCCAAAACCTAAATTTACTCCATATGTTTCCCCCACCTTCTCCTTTGATAAGTGATCCACTCCTTTAATTCTCCTCCCTTTTCAACCCCCTCCTTTAATTCTCCTTCCTTCTAACCCCCTCCTTTAATTCTCCTCCCTTTCCCTCCACTTCTGGACCCACTTTCTTGACCACCCGTCCATCAACTTCTAACATAGAAGAATTGACATGTCATTAAGAAAATTGTTGAGTACCTCTTTTTGTGAACATATATTCTTTTCAACTTCTAGCTTGTTTATTTCTTCTAGCAGCTCAACCTGCATATCAAGCATAAAATATACCACGCTGATTAAACTTCTAATTTTCTTAAAGATTCATTTCATCTCATACATGTCAATCAGAATAAAAAAATAAAAGAGAAAGAGAGAGAGTGAGAGGAAGTCGTCAAAAGAGTTTGACTTGGGGTATTTTTTGGTTCCAGGGCAGTGTTCATGAAAATGAGATTCCCACCTTAACATAATGAAAAAGAGTATGATTGTCAAAGTCAAAATTAAGCCAAGAAGGCGTCTTTGCACATTGTTTTACTTCATATTGAGGTTTCAGCCGAATTTAACTTCAGCAATGGATGATATAAATAATTAGATTTGGCCTCATTGTTTTGCAACCCAACAAGATAATTTAGTATTCCATTCATGTAGAAAACCGTTAATGTATAACTAGAAGCTTTTGTGTGTCCCACACGGCAAGAAGTTATTTATTGATGCACTAAATACATCAAGAAATAAATTGAAAAATGACATGTGGCCCATTGATTAAAAGAGATGGTTGTATAGATCAAGAATTCGAGCTAATGCTAATCATTCCCAAAAATTAAAAAATAAATATGAATGATCTACAATAATTCATCAACTATGACCAATACATTTTAGGCAAAAACTTACACATTTTTCTTCACAGATGCTACGCTTCTCCTGATCTAAATCTGATTCTGAAACTCCGACACTTTGACTGTCTGCATTACTTGGAGCCCCAATGTGATGGTTCTGCATAGAGTCATCAGGTTTGGTTTGATTAACATCTTCTGCAGTGAATATAGAAGCACTGTGTTTGGTTTGGTTTCCTTTCTTCTTCTTGCCTTTCTTCTTATTTTCACCCATTTATTCCAGCCCCAATATTACAGTTAAACAAAGTCTATACTCGTACGTTCAGACTCCTTGAGAACTTCAACTCTTATTTTACCTGAAACATTGTATATCTCTATCCAATCAATGGATGAGTGGTAGAAACAAATAGGAACATAAGAAGACGGGGATCTATTAATGAGATCTAGAAAAACAAAATTTGCAGCCAAACAAGAATCACCAGCTCATTTAAGAAATCTGATGTCAACAGATCGCAGGGTATGCAAAGGTTTAGTAACAAAATTAACCATTTTCTCCTAATTTTTTCATAGCCTATACCACTAACACTAAATCAAACTTTCGTTGTAAACATGACAATGAACAGTGTGCTAGATGTTACATGGCCCTTAGTCTTCCAAAAAAGGGTCAAGGGTTCAAATTCCCTCCAGAAAGGGCCACCTAAAAACGACGAGAGGAAGAATCCAGCGTAGATACGTATCAAAGAAAAGGGTTACAAAGAACGGCACTTTTCAGGATCAGAGATCCAATACCTGCTAGATGAGAGATAGAACAATATGTAAAAATCGAGCGTGGATAAAAACCGGATAACCTAATTTCAATGTTCGTTGAAAACTTAACCTAGAGGTCCGGAACATCGAAGAAGGAATCTGAGATCTATTCAGCGGGGAAGGATGCCAGAAGCTAGATCGCGGTTTGCTTTTTGATCTGTAAGAGGAGGAGAGCTGAACTTCAAGAACATGCCGACGAAAATAGCGGGATAACGGCTTTATAAGGGCATTTCCAACCGAACGGCAAATACTTGTTTGCCGTTCTTGCTTTGCTCCAACCGATCTCTATTTTTGACGTCATTTGATCGCGGATGAACAGTGCGAGGCCAATATTGGCGTCGCACTGTTCATCTGCGGCATTTTTTTCTCTCTACCGAACAGCTTGGGAAGAAAGGCGCGAACGAAAACGACCATTTTAGCGGCAAAATGGCGTTGGATTGGAGATGAAATACGGCATTTTTTGATTTCCCTGCATTTTGGAGTGAAAAATGACATTTTCGGTTGGAGATGCCCTAACTTCGGATTTCGCTGGGCGCTTCGGTAAATCTCTCTTCTGAAAAAATAAAAATAAATTAATAAGTAAATAAATATTATATGTGTTATATACTTATATGCATTGGCATTGTGCGCCTAAAAATGTCAACGTATGTTCAAATAAAGTTGTACCTCTCCAAGTGTCTAATGAACATAACCTCTTCATGATAACTATTTGGAACAATCATTTAATAAGAGAATAATGATGTAATTTCATCGAGAGAGTAAGCCATAAAACTAGTGCAAATCCGGCATACAACAAGTCAGCCCAATAGGTTAGCATCTTCATCTAGTAAATTAATGTAAATTGGCAACTCGTCAAGCGTTGCCCACTCCTTCCAATGAATCAAGAGTTACAACAAGCATGTGAAGTGATATTCCAATAGGAGAGAAGTATGGATGGCTATCAATCTCTAAACATGCAGCTAAGAAGGTGGGCAGGATTCTAGCTGTCAAGGGCGCTTCCTCCTACTCTTTTGGGGTTTTATTTCTTGTGATGGATTCTTTGGCTTTATTAGAGGCCCTTGCCTCTCCTATTTTATGAAATCTCCTCCACCTATTACTTCTTTATTGGGTTGCCTCTTAAATCACCATCTTTTTGTTTACCTCCAGAAAAATATTGTCATCGGGTTCTTTCTCCAGTATCGACTTCCCGTACTTAAACTCTTCCACAACCAACATACATAAATCTAACCTTGCTGCCTCGCTATGGTCTATTAATCTTAATTGGAAATCATTGTTCTCGGCTAAAAAATCTTGTTCAGTGGAATATCTTCTTTCATATGTTCCTTTTGTTGAGAGTTCCATGTGTTTTCCTAAGGAAGAAATCTCAAAAGGATCCAAAAAATGTGAACTATCAATTGTGGGATATGCAATCGGTAAAGTGCCCTTTCTACGAAGCCCTTCTTGTTGTTGTGAAAAAGACCCAGCAGTTGAAAGGTAACCCTTGTTCAATGAGCGACGGTTTCTTTCTTTTCAAATTCTTTGCATTGTAAGATTTTGAGATGGTTTTATCAAATAGGCCACGATTTTTCTTTGGAAAGTAATTCATTTTTTATAAATTTTGATTGTTGGTTTTATTCATAAATGTGATGAGCTTGAATCACTCTCTTTATAGATTAAAATCCATGACATACCTCTAAGTTGTTGGAACACGATCACATTTCTAAAATAAATAAGTAAAATTGGCCAACCATTGGCGGTGGATGCTTTAAAGGCTGGAAAAAATATGGCTACATTTGCACATGTTCATGTTCAAATAAATAAAATTCTGTCTTTGTAGACTCTATACCCATTTCTTTATCTGGGAAGAAATATATTTTGAGAGTTCAATATGATTGGAAGCCTCTTCCCTACTCAGGTTGTGGTTCTTTGGTGCAACCACCAAATCTCTGCCCCATAAGTCATATTAATTTGCTTCAACAGAAACCTTCACCTCGAGGAGGAGCTGATGTCGAAAGCCATGTCCTCATGCTAATAGGCAACACAATTCATTTAACTTTGCTACTTCCATCTCTGAAAATCCTACAAGCAAAAATTCACAAAATCCTTATCTTCGTAACATCACCAAATCCCCTAAAAAAAAACTAGGAAAAGCCCACCTCAATTGCTTCTTCAAATGACCCTCCTTCAACCATGCAACTTTTCAACTTAAACAACCCTTCCTCATAATCCCTTCCTCCGCCTACTGATAACAACCCTCGTCATACTTAATTTTCTAACCAATTTTTCTGACTTGGCTCTTGCATTAACACTTCCTCATCCTCTTAAGAAACCCAACATTCTAACAATGTAGCAATTGTCCGTCAAGGAACCACCTATGTCAATTTTTTTTCAAAGAATGCAAGCACCACATAGCCTCATAATCCTCAAAAGGCCAAGAAGATGGCCACCAATCTTTCCAATGCCCAATAATGAAGTCTAATATTTCCTCTTGGTACACAAGATGCTTTAATGGCTTGGATAAGGTCCTTATCTGTAAGAATCTTATTTATAGTTTTAATAGTAACTTATTTTATATTCTAGAAGCCAAAATCAACCTTTCTCAATTGGAGGATGCTTGATTTTTGAACTCTCACAAGCTTGTCTTAAATGAATGAATAATTCGTAATTTTAATGCTTCTCATCCTGGAAGAATCTTATTGAAATGGAATGTTGATTTGCTTCATTTTCATCTCTTGTTTGTTAACTCTCAGCTTATTCATGGGGAGATAAAAAATGACAATTCATTTTTTATACTCTCTATTGTTTATGCCTTGAATGATAGTGCAGGCAAAATGCAACTTCGAAATTCCTTAAGAAATTTAAGTCTCTTTGCATCTTTTAATAATCTCCCATGTGTTATCCTTGGGGACTTTAATTGTTGTAGGGATGCATCAGATAAACTTGGGAGCAATAACATTTATCATAGTAAGATGTGGGATTTTAACATTATGATTTTTCACATAGGTTTACAAGACTTGTCTTATATGGGTCTTAATTTCACTTTGTTTAACAACCAAATTAACACTCTTATTCACATTAAGCTTGTAGGGTGCTCAATAATGAGGCTTGGTTTGATAACTTCCATGATTCCTTTTACAAAGTGGAAGCTTCCAGATGCTCGGATCACTCTCTTCTTTATCCACATTGATTTTTGTGCCATGTTTAATCGTTTATATAAAAAATATGGGGTTAATTGCCTTAATTACTGAGTTATTTTGTATTTTATTTTTTCTTGTTCCACATGGAGGAGACCCTATTTTCTATTTTTAATCTAAAACAAGGAAGTTTAAACATAATATCAGAGCTTTGAAATGTAGTACATCTATCATGCCTCAAAATCAAATTTAGAAAAATTATTTCTTTTATCTTTTAACAATATAACAATGACCATGAGCGTTATCTATTTATTTCATCGATAATATAAATTAGTAGTGAAAATCATTTTTATTGATAAAAAAATCAATATATATTTGTATTCATACTCCAAAATTATAGATAAATCACATGAGTTACATAATCACTGCATATAATCTATCTGTATGACTACAAAAGAACAACTAAATAAAATAACAAAATAACTTGGAGAATCCTATAACTGATCAATCTCACACTCTCGATCCTTTACCATGACATGGAATTATTTAAACTACATACAACGAGCTAAAAAATCAAGCATATTACTAAATCCTACAACTGAACTCAAAGTACGGTAAAGAAACAGTATGCATATCGTCAGTCAATTCATAACAATTGTAGTCACTATGATCATGTATCTATACAAAAATAGTAAACACATGCAATAACTGTAAAATAGTTGAATAGTATAATTACAGGAGCTAGTAAAACGGAGCAATACATAAACATTAAAATCGATAAAATCAGTAAACTAGTAAATCAGTAGATCAATAAATTAGTACGGAGGTAATCAAATAAGCAATAAACAATCATCTCTAAATCATATGTCATAGCAACAAAAAAAATCGTATAAATTAATAAACCAATAACATTTATAAAAAAACTATCAGAATCCATGACAATACAATCAAATCAACATATATATGAAATTTGATCATTAAATATCATTATTCAATCAATATCTCATAGCATGTTCAATATAAGAATCATGTGTTTAGTAATAATAAATCAATAAATAGTGAATCAATCATAGTAACAATAACATTGAATCAATAGTCTTATAAGTAGCAATATCAAAATCATTAGTAACAGTATCAATATCTATAAAATAGGTCACAGTGATACTAAAACAATGCAGAAATAGTAGTAGTAATCAGTAGAATGGTAAAATAGTATAATGACTGTAGTGTAGTAACATGTATTTCAATAATCAAACTAAACAACGAGTTCTGACTTGCACAATATTTTTTTAGTTGTTAATAGTTACTAAGTCAATAGCTGTTGGCTCAATATATATAGTCGTTACTTTTTCTGTCATCATAACAATATCTCATTATAACTCTCAATCAGTGAATCATGTAAATTAGTGGAGGATAAAATCAAATCATAATATTTAAAATAAAGCTCATCACCCTACCATATTGTACATATTAGTTAGTCATCAGCCAACATTAGAAAAAATAGCTTGTACTTATCATCATATATACTATTATCACAATATTATAACAGTAATAACAACATAGTATTATTCAATTGTGTACTCATATTCATTCACAATACTTGTATTACCAATATGCATATATTAAAATACCAAAATATCTATTCTTACAATTTGTACGAAACACAATAACTTTTATGGGGATTTACATACATACAATTTTATTTCATTATATATATACATCTAACACCCAAAATTTTTATATTGCATTAATAACACTTATATAAGAACTTAATATCAAATATACCACTTCTATATTTTATTTTGATCACGCATACCACCATATATATTTTAATATTTAATTTCATATACCAATATTTGTTCTATGGGTGAAATGTATACAATATTAAAATTTTAGGTGTTAGACATGTAAATAGCATGAAATGAAGTGGTATGTACGTAAATCTTCCTAACTTTGATTCTTCCCAGTGAAATTTCACTTTCAACCAGTCATAAAAATATCAAGAACAGTCGGTATAAAAATATATAAAAAGTTATAAAGTAGAAGTTCACTAAATTAAAAAAAAATCACTTTAAAATAAATCAAACCGTCAAAATCAAATACAACCTTCTCTTTTCATAAAAACAAAGAAGAAGATTTATGACCAAATACAACCTTATTTTTTTTCTCTCTTCACTCTCTCCCAACAACAAGGAATACAAATTAATATATTAGTTCTAAAGCATAAACCGAGATTTTTCAATTTGATTGGTTGCCTAAGTCAAGAAAAATATGCGATGTTTGGAATACAAAAAAGGCTAAAGCCTGTTCTAAAGTACAAATATCGGATTAGTTTTGACTTTTCAGGCGTAGAATTGAACCACTTTAATAAAGAAGCTTCTGCGGTTAAGAAAGAAGGCGGAAGAGCAAAATCGCCTTCACTCATCAGCTATATAACAGCTCAATATAAGAACACTGGTGTCATTGCAGGTGGTCACCAAGCAGGCGGGTGCAGGGGCTTTGCGGATCCTTCCAGGCGTCATCGGGCTAGCCCGCTCGTCTATCCGGTTAATCTTTCTCTGTTGAATCCGGAAACCGGACTTACACGGTAACTATTTCTTCTACGTTCTTTTGATCCATGATTTTTTGATTTCTTTGAGCGTTTTTTTCTGAGTTTCTGGTGGATTTTATCTGTTTCTTTGGGTAGGAAGGCGATTTGATTTGAACGGTCTTGGTGCCTCTCTTCGGCTTTGAGACAAGTCGGGATTGGTATGATTAGCTTTTAGATGGCAGCCAGAGAATGACGCCATAAGCATATAAACCCTAGAGAAGAAGACTAGTCCCATTCGGGTATTATACCGGAAAGGGTTCTTTAATATATTTTTAGAGACGGATTTGTGTGTATTCTGGATATTAATTCGCTGCTAGCATTAAAATAAAGAAACTTTGTGTACTCTGCAGTTTTGACTGTTTTTTAAAAAGGACGATAATTATAATTTTTATGAACTCGTCTTCAAGGTCTCATATTCCTGCGTGCCTAAAAATTTACTATGGTAGAGAGAGAGGGAATTTAAGGTTTTAGCTGAGCACGAAGATATATACAAATCTAAGAGAGAAGAGTACAAGAATCGTAAAAGATTAAATCTTGAAAAGTGAAAAATTACAAGGCTGGACTCAGTTAAAGTAATTCCAACAACATTTATATTTGATTACAAGTGAATCCATTTGGGGAAAGACATTGATACATCATAAAGAACACATTAGATTGTTGAAGCTAAAAGAGCCATTTGGCAAGAATTCATCACTAATTCAAGTGTTGAAGTTGGGAGTCATAGTTGAGGATGATGACATGCATCAATCTTATTAGTGGCGGCATGCTTTGATATTATTGGTGATGGTAGGTTATGAAGTCAGTATACATTGGAGTAGCTAGGAGACATTGATCAGGAGATTGTAGGTCGGTGGACTATATTCAGGCGATGGAGGTCAAAAAGACCGTAGTTAGCGGGCAACGAAGGTTGAAAGGATTGTAGTCGGAGGACAACAAAGTTTGAAAGGATCATAGTTGATAGTTGGTGAGGATGGAGGTTGGAAGGACAATAGTTAGCTGGTGCCGGATGCCGGCAAGATCGTAGTTAGGTGAAGTGGTCAGAAGAATGTAGTTAGGCAACAATGCTCAAAGGCGATGTTTAAAATTGCGTATTCGGGTATTGAGGCGTTTTTCATTCGTGAGGCGAGATGTAAGCCTCAAGGCGTTTTAGGCGTAAGCCTCAAAATCAAATAATTGCGTAAACATAAAAATGATAAATTTTTATATACTAATGAGTGAATAATATAAAACATAAAAAAATATAAAGATATGAAGGTGAAATCAAAATATCCAAAATAAGACGACCATGAAATATAGTTCAACTCAAAATTTATCTTTCCCAATCCCAGTATTTCTTTTTCATTAACATATAATTCCAATTTCAAAAAATAAATAACAATGACATTCACATAAGAACTCATAAGTCATCAGCACTTGTCATTACATAAGGGTTATTCATTTGAATCATCATTATGATGAACTGCTCTCTCCCTTTCCTCTCTCCTTATAGAGTCCATGTCGGCATTTACTTCAGATTTATGTATGTTTAATTTTTATATATATATATATTATATATATATATATTAGTATATATATAATAATATTATATATATATATATATATAGCGTAGGCGAGGTGGGCCTCAAGGCGGGCCTCAACCAAGTTGAGGCGCAAGCCTCATAAAAAAAAACTCGAGGCGTAAGCATCGAGGCATTTTTTACTGGAATTGCACAAAGGCGGGCCTCAAGGAGAGCCTCATATTGCGCAATTTTAAACCATGCTCAAAGGATCATTGTCGGGTGATGATGGTTTGAGGATTGTAGTTAGCGGGCGATGAAGTTTAGAAGGACCATAATGAAGAGATAGTGATCGAAAAATCATAACTGATAGATAATGGTCGAAAGACCGTAGTCGGGCGACGGTGCTTCGATTATCGTAGTTGAGTGACAGTGGTCCAAATGATTGTGGTCAGGTGATGGTGATCTGAAGGACCGTAGTCGAGCGATGGTGGTTGAAGGAGTGTAGCTGTCCAGTGATGGTTGTCGGAAGATTGTAGTCGTTGGATGACATTGGTCGGAGGACCGTAGTCGGCGGGTGACAGTGGTCGGAGGACTGTAGTCGGCGGGTGACAGTGGTTGGAAGGCCATAGTTTGCGGGCGATGTAAGTTGAAGGATCACAGTCGTTGGGGGACGGAGGTCAAGGAACCGTAGTCGGCGGGCAATGATGGTTTGAGGGCCATAGTGTAACACCCTATGAATCTAATGGAAAGATTAAACTTACTTATACCTATAATTAATTAGCTCATCCCCTGATAACAATAAGCAGAGCTACTAAATCTTTCAGAGCATTAAAACAATATAATCTACTTTCGTTTCGTCAAAACATAAATATAACAATCCAACTCAGAATGTCTATATATCAAAATAACAACATTGGATTACAAAATTAATACTTATACTCTAAGCTCAGAGAATCCTTCTTTAGACCTGGTTTAATCCATCATACAATTTTCTTTGTCTAAACATTTAAAAGGATTAGAGTGAGCTCAATTAGCTCAATACACTCCCTCGTTCACCAATCACAGGTATAAATATCCAATACAAATATTTAAAAGTAATTAATTAAAGGAAAATATAAAGACTTGCTAAATAATTAAAACATGAGTAAATTCGGAACTTACCAGAGTTCCAATATATACTTGATTTCAGAGTTAACACTTATATTTTCATAATCATATAACCACTTGCGCAGAATTCTTCAGATGCAATACATAGTACTTATTTTCAGAGTTTCACTTGCATATAAATTTCATTTTCCCAACAAAATTCATTTAGAGGTTCAAAATTTACTATTACACATTTCAAAACATTTCTAATGTTTAATTCATAAATCATTTACATATAAAATGCAACATAATTTTATAATGTACATGTCTCGATGCTTGCTTATAGCTCTGCCTTCACCTATATCTCATTTTACGTCCCACACATGCATATAGCAGGTGGGGCCAAAATTCCTCCCATATCTGCATCAGACAAATGGGGCCAAAAGAGTACTTATAGTGTTACTTAATCTCTCACACTTGCTTTCAACAAGTTGGGCTAGAATTCCTCACATATCTGCATCAGTTAGATGGGGTTAGAAGAATATATTCAGGGCCCTTATAATATAACAAAGAGTACACTTTCTCACATTTCAGAATATCTATTATGCTACGGGTGTTAACATGGGTTTTCGGGTCTTGTTCGGGTCCAACCCAAAACTTATCCACCCTCCATTAATCTAGCCATAACTCGAATTGATTACACAAATGGCTCCAAAATTTGAACTTGGACCTGACCCGTTAAAAACCCAGGTCGATCGGACCCTAAATGTTGACCCGGGCGAGCATAGGCGAGCGTTCGTCAGCGCAGGGTTGAGTTCGGGTCACCTGTAGGTGCGAGCCCGGAGTGAGCATGACTGCGTGGGATCTAGTGCTGGACGCGATGAGCAACCCGGAATGCAGGCCTGCCATCTCAATGCGAACGTGGTGCGTGCGGGTGAGATGCGGTGGTGGGTCATTTTCGGGTTAGCAGGTTGATCTAGACTTGATCCGACTCGACCTAATTTTTTAAACCGGTTGGACATTGGAACTTGAACCTGACCTGTTTGTTAGGGTCGGATTTTCGGGTCGTGTCAAATGTTGGCACCCCTCTATGCCATATTATGTAAAATGTAAATATATTATAACAGCGATTAATTTAAATATCTAATGCAATATTAAAAGAAATGCATGAATTGCTAGTAAACGTCCAATTACTTGAAAAATAGAATACTTACTAAACTTTTCCTCTTTAATTTTTAATTTTAAAGGAACATTCACATGAATTTGAAATAGAATTATTGCTTTGAAGATTGTTGTTCATGCTAAGATTATTAATATTATAAGCGCTTATGCTCTTCAAGTAGGTTTAAATATGTGTTCAAAGTTAAAATTTTGAATGACTTAGAAGAATTAATATAAAATATACCTCTCGAAGAAAGAGTTTTATTGAAAGAGATTTAAATGGGCATGTTGGTAGAGAACTATATGATTTTAAAAGCATATATGGTATTAAGACCATATTAGAAAAAGGTGGATGAGATATTTTGCTAAACTTTTCAATGAAAATTATGAGAATGCGATTGAATTTTGTGACCTTACCATCCTAAATGAAAATAAATATTTTTATTTTTATCGGCATATTAGTAAAATCGAAGTTAAAGAGGCTTTAAAGAAAATGAAGTGTGGAAAAGTTGTTGGACCTGATGATATTTTAATAGAGGTGTGAAAATACTCAGGTGTTAAAGGAATTTTTAGGCTTACTAAACTTTTTAATATTGTTGCGGGTTAGAATATACGCGGCGATAGAGTTATAATCACACGTCTTAGCTTTGTACGGATATCCAGCTCACACATAGAGAACATTAGATTTTTTACGTTGGAAACCCTGAAAAGGGAAAAACTACGGGGTCTGGCCCAATTGAAAATGATTCCACTAGAATTCGAGTAGATTACAGCGGGCTGACCGTCCTTGAGGGCGATCATATTACAAATGCCAACTGTATGGTTGAAATCTTGTGACAAATGGGGATGAAGGTCTGGCGTCACTTGGTGGTCCATCGGAAGTCCTGCGTTACTTGGAAATTTGAGCGTCAGGTAGTGGTCTGGCAGAGCTCCGGGTGTCAGGTGGTGGTGGTCCAGCAAAACTCAGGGCGTCAGGTGGTGGTCCGGCGGAACTCCACGCATTAGATGGTGGTCCAGCGGAGCTCAGGGCGTCAAGTGATGGTCCAGCGGAACTCCAGGCGTCAGGTGGTGGTTCAGTGGAACTCCAGGCATCAGGTGGTGGTCCGGCAGAACTCCAGGCGTTAGGTGGTGGTCCGGCGGAGCTTAGGGCGTTAAGTGGTGGTCTAGCGAAACTCTATGCATCAGGTGGTGGTCCGGCGGAACTCCAGCGTCAGGTGGTTGTCCGACAAAACTCAAGGCGCTAGGTGGTGGTCCGGCGGAGCTCAAGGCCTCACATTGTGGTCCGGCGGAGCTCAGGGTCTCAAGTTGTGGTTCGGCGAAACTTAGGGCCTCAGGTGGTGGTCTGATAGAGCTCAGGGCCTCAAGTGGTGGTCTGACGGAACTCAGGGCCTCAGGTGGTGGTCTGGCGGAGCTTAGGGGCTCAAGTGGTGGTTCGACGGAACTCAGGGCCTCAGGTGGTGGTCCGATGGAACTCCAGGCAGTGGTCGAGGAGGCAAGGAGGCAAGAGCGATCTCCGATCTCTTTCCTTTCTCCTTAGGCTTTGGGGGTCCCTTTTCAAGAGGAAGGAGGGGTATAGATTTCTTAGAGTGGCATGGCACGTAAATAGGAGGAGGATCAAGGGTAAATGGGGAGTGGTTTGGATGGACGACCTATATTGAATCCCTTGATCATGGACCGTTCGTTAGACATTTAAAGGTCTTAATGATGTCAGAATTCCATGATCTTGGGCTTGTTGGATTCTTCTCGTCGAGCCGCTCGATTCGACTATAAGCATGTCATGTTTGGAAACCGTTTGGTAATCCAAATTGTGGTTCAAACCTTCCAACAGCGCTTCAGGCCCTTGATTTGGACCCATTTGGGCTCAGATTGAGTCGAATTTGGTGTCGTTAGATATGTATTTTTGAGACGTTCAGTTCAACTGTAAGTTCGCTGAAATCAGAGTTTGGATGGTCCCAATTTTAATTTCAGAAATTTCAAACTTGATTCTTCCTCGAGATTCGTGCCCGATCAAGATAATTTTTTGAGGATGTATCAAATATTATTTTGAAGACTAAAAAATGCTAGATGAGTGGAGAAGGAATGCGTTAATTCATATTTTTAAAAATAAAGGTGATGCACAAGATTGTGTGAATTATAGAGGAATTAAGTTAATGTGTTATATTTTAAAACTATAGGAGAGAGTTATGTAGCTTAGGTTATGGCGTGACACTAATATTTCTCAACATTAAATTGGATTCATCCCAAGGAGGTCTACTATGAAAACTATACATTTATTGAGAGGTTTGATGGAGAAGTATATAGAGAATAAGGAGAATTTACATATGATTTTTATTGATTTAGATAAAGCATATGATAAAATTTCAAGAGAAGTGCTATGAAGAGTTCTACATAAGTAAGGGGTTAATAATGCTTATATTCAAGTCATTAAGGATATGTTTGCAAGAGTTGTTACTTGTGTTCATACATAAGGTCGTTTGACCATTTTCTTATTTTAGTTGGTTTACATCAAGGATCAGCCTTAAGCCCATATGTTTTGGCTTTAGTCATGGATGTTTTCACTAGACATTTGCAAGAGGTTGTACGTTGGTGTATGTTTTTTGCTGATGATATTCTTCTTGTTGATAAGACTAGAGAGGCAGATTAAAGTAAACTTGAGTTATAGAGATCAACCTTAGAGTCTAAAGGCTTTTGTTTGAGTAGATCGAAAACTGAATATATGGAGTGTAATTCTAATAATAATAGATTTAGTGGAGGATTGTGACTTTGGGTGATCAAGTCATTAATAAGAGTACACGCTTTAGATATATTGGGTCTATTGTTCAGAGTGATGATGTAATATATGGGGATATTATTAGTAAAATTCAAGTTGGATGGTTGAAGTGGAGGAATGCATCGGGCTTGTTGTGTGATAGAAAAGTCCCTCTCAAACTTAAGGGAAAAATCTATAAGATGGTAGTGAGACCTGCAATGCTTTATGTCGCAGAATGTTGGCCATTAAAAGAGAAGCATAATATTAAGTTAAGTTTTGCAGAGATGAGGATGCTCAGGTGGATGAATGACTTTACTCTTAGAGACAGGATACGAAATGATCATATATATGAAAAGGTTGGTGTATCTCTAGTGGAAGATAGGATTAGAGAGAGTCGCCTTATATGGTTTGGTCACTTAAAACGGCGACCTTCAGATGACTGTAATCGGTGGATGACGGAGGTATACCTAAAAAGACTTGGTTAGATAATATTAGAAATGAAATTTCTTTATTAGATTTATATGAGAATTTGACTCTTAACATGACACAATGGAGAGAAAAGATTAATGTAGCCGACCCTACATAGTGGGATGAAAGCTTGTTGTTGTTATTGTTGTATAAACTTATTGGAATGGAAATCAAAGATAGAGGTTTTTTAGTCTACCTCAAGCTCTCTAATATTCCAAATTGGCCCGACAGATGAATCCCGAGTTTTGGCCTTCCGATCCTCTCTCCCCTCTTTCTATTTCCTCTTCTCCTCATTCTCCTCTCTTCTTTTTCGGTAATGGCTGGGTGGAAATAGTTTGGCAAAATGTTTTGAGATATTTTAACACATAAAATCCACTAGTTTGAACCAGCGCCGTGGCGCTCACTTTTCAAGCACCATTGTGCTCCAAAAAAATCTTCTTAATTCTTCCAGAATATCTTTTCCTCGAACCTAACGATGGTGATTGAAAGGATGATAATCATGTGATAGTGGTCAGCATATCGTAGTTGGGAAACAATAGTCAAAAGATCGTAATAGGTGAGTGATAGATATTAGAGGACTATAGTTGGTGGGCGATGGAGGCTGTAAGGATTGTAGATAGGTAATAGTGGTCTAATGATCGTAGTCGGACAATGGTGGTCTGGGGATCATTTTCGGGTGATAGAGGTCGAAGAACCATGGTCGGGCTATGGTGGTCCGATGACTGTAATCGGTGGACGACGGAGGTCGAAGGATCGTGGTCAGGCGACGATGGTCCAGGGACAACAGTTGAGCTACCGTGATCCGGAGACAATATTCGGGCAATATTCTGACAACATTTGAGTGTCTTAATGATGTTGGAATTAAGCGATATTGGGCTCGTTGGAATCGTCTTATGGAATTGCTCAATTTGACTATAAGCATGCCAAATTTGGAGATCATTTTGTCAATCCAATTACCATCATGAAGTTTTCTATTATGCTTTATGCCCCCCTAATTTGGGTTGTTTCTTGCTCTAATTGGGCAATTTTAGGTGTCATTGGGATTATCTCGTCAAGACATTCAGTTCAACTATAAGTTTAATGATATCGGAGTTTGAATCGTCTCAAATTTAATTTTAAAAATCTCCCATTCAAATATGCCTTGAGATTCATGCCTGATCAAGCCGATTTTGGTGATGCGTAACACCTATATTTTTATAATAAATATAGTAACTGTAATCTAGTCATTGAATATGTACACTTGGCATGAAGAAGGTATTATCATTTATATATCATTTTTGCTTGTATCGTGATACCATCACAAGAGTGTTACAAGGAACTTTTGGCATTTTCAATTTTCTCAGTGTCCAGGTTGAACTTCTTATTTTCCTCTTATGCGTGATGCATAGTTCTTGTTAATTCCTTTTTGGTTACTTTGAGCTGTGAATACTTTGTTGTCTGATTTCAACTTGCTAAATAAATTCGCCTCCAAAGTCTTTTATGTTAGTAGATTATTTGAGCTAATTTTCTATTTTTGGTTACTTATTTACCAAAATTCTTTCTACTTGTTTTTTTTTTTCCAGGTAATTGGAGGCCTTTTTATTTGGATATCATTTTTAAAGTTCTTATGGGAAATTGCTTGCGTCCGGTAAGCCATTTTAATAGAATGGATTGAAATTCTTCATGAAAGTTTAGAAACAGCTCAAATGAATACTATGTTCCACACAATTTTATGATTTATTAGCATCCTTTGTTTACTGCATCGAATTATCTTTATGAAATTTATCTACTTTTTTTTTTGGTGTAATAATTTTTTTCTCTCTTTGTCACAACATTTTTTTTTCTAAAACTATTGTTTGAAAAAAGGTTCTGGGCCATGTATCAAAGTGTGAAGGTATAGGGCGAGGCATTTATCTGTTATAAATTAGGGTATAAGTCCGAAGACAATGATGCATAAGCCCTAAATGCAAGAAGAAAAAATTAAAATAAATTCCAGAATTCATTACCATATGGTTCATATTCTAATTTTAAAATCTAATTGACATGAACATATAAAGGTTATATATCTAGTGAAGCATGCTTATTTTAAGACATTTGTCACACTACCCAATGTAATCTCCTTCTCAAATACATGTTTACTTAAAATATGCAAAGAGTTCATTTGTAGCACTGGATTCTTTTGTGAATTTATATTTACTCCTAGGCATTGTTGGTTCCAAAACTACCATTCTTCCATTAGTCTTAGAAACATGTCTTAGAGCTAGGGTCTAATAAATATAACATGAGCAATATCCATAAGAAGCATATCACATTATATTTTGTTAGTATAAGTAACTAATTGAATCGAAACCAAACATATCATATGCGTTATATATATATGGTTGTGGATATGGTTTAACTTTCAAATTGATGTGGTTTAAGCTAGACGTTGATATGATATTCATTCAACTCACCATCAATTATGAGTTTGCATAGCTTATGTTTAAAACTAAGTTTGAAATTTTTTTTTCTCTTTCAACTAGATTCAAATTTAGGAATAGCTATGTTGCAACACATGACATTTTGATAATTATCATGTGCATCATCAAAATCACTAATTTTTTCATCAAATTGTGAAGATCATCAAAATCCTTGATTATATTACCTTTTCATTTCCATATTTATTTACAATTTCCTATATGGCTATTTTCATACATTAGTATAATGAACAATTTGATGACAATTAAAATACACTTTTAAAAAAATTAGACCTAGATGCAGAGGACTCCCTTTCATGTCCTTATTAAATATGAAGTTTTTTTTTTGGGAGATTACATGCATACAACTATATACTATCTTTTTTACATATGTAACACCCAAAACATTAATATTGCATACATGCCATTCTATATTATTTTAATATTAAATATGCCACTCATATTTCATTCCTACCATTCATATATTTCATTTCTATCACCCATATTTTATTTCAAAGTAAGTTATGTGTGGTATGTATGTAATATTAAAGTTTTGGATGTTAGATATATAAATAGAATGGTATAGGGTGGAATGTATGTAAATCCCCCTTAATTTAATTATTTCCTCGAAACATCTGGTTATTGCTTTCATACTTGTGCTTATTATTATATGTATGATAATAACAAGAAGCAATTTGATAAACCTTGGTATTAAAAACAGCCAACAAACCCCAATAAATTCAATAAACAACATATTTTCATTGAACAAGAAAATAAGAACAAGCAAGATACAATGATCCTCTTTCGAGAGGAGGATCTTCCCTCCCGAACCCTAGACGCCGCTAGAATCTCTCACAAAACAATAGATAGCAAGACTATAAACAAAATTTTGCATACTAAACATAACATAAACCCAGTTACTTATAGCAAACAATAAACAATAAATATGATAACATCCCTCAAATCAGCCTCTAAATCTGTCCTCTTTAATTAGGAAACATCTCGTAATTAACCCTCTCCAAATCAGCCCCCAAATCTGTTCTCTCTAATTAGGAAACATTGTCTAATTTATCCCCTCCAAATTAGTCCCCTTTCCTAATATATTTCCCTCTCCAATTTGAATTTCAATTAGGAAATATTTACTAATTGATTACTTAATTTCTCATCTCACATAATGAATTGATGTTTTAATGGGTCTCACAACAGGAGCCGAAATCTACCCAGGTTCACCCCTCCCCCCCAAAGGGCTGCCGGTGCGGCGCAATTTTCTATTATCCATATGTTGTCAGAAGATTGCATAAGTGAATTTAACAATGTGAGGTAATAGCGAAATTTTGTTTCCTAGTTAGAAGATGCAATTAGAAACTGAAGTGACTGAGGGAGGGAAAGATAAAGGAAATAAGAGATTCAAAATTGAAAATGTTGCCTGAAAGGATACGGTATAACTTGAAAAGCTTGGCCCAAAGAATAAATTAAAGTAAACTCAGAGGCCTTAGATGAATTCCTCGCTTTAAATTTTAAGATTTGCTTTGCAGGCAAAGGATGTATCCTTTGAGCAGTTAATTCAAAGATATTTCTAATAAGTCGGCTCTTTATTGTATCTGTTGTTATTTGGTTGATTGGGTTGCTCAACTTTAAGTTCTCTTAAAAATATAATTCTGTTATCCTGATTTTTTATCCCACACTTCGATTTTGATTATGGAGTACGTTCATTACACAATCTGCTATTTTATCAAATTAAACATTCTGGTTGTGGTATTCTGAATTACTATAATACTTTTTTGTTTTGCACTGATGATTTGTGCGCTGATATATGATTTTCTTCTAGAGTCAAAACGGATCTGATAAGGATTCCAAGCTTAATTTCAGTGGCGGAAACGTACATGTTATAGGTAGCGGAGAAGAATGGGATGCGAAGATCTCAGAAGCAAATAAAGAAGGCAAAATAGTAAGTTTTCCGTTTTTTCCATGTACTTGTAACACGTGTTATTCTTGCGGTTTTAAAGTATTAGCTATGTGATATTCATGTAACTCTGCTTTAAATATTTGACTGTAATGCTTAGAAAGTAATCTCAGGTATGTTAACATCTTCACCTGTTCCTTCAAATGCCTTCGATCTTTATTCTGTTTCTTTTGAGAATTTATGTAGCATGTCCGCTTGCCCATTCTATTCAGTTTTGATTAATTTTCTAGATGTTCTGTTTTCGTTTAAAAATTAGCATTCGATCCCAAACTCCTAGCACTTTCATATGAAAAACATAAATATTTTTGTAATGTTTTGGCGCCACCTTATTTCTGTTGGCTGATTATAAAAAAACTATCCTGGCACTGGAATTTATAGATAATCATAATTCTGCGCTTTATCACTCTCCATCTTTCTCTTCTTTCAGTTGACAGAGAAACTTCTGATATCTACAGGTTGTTGCAAATTTCAGTGCAGCATGGTGCGGCCCATGCAAAATGATTACTTCTTACTATACTGAACTTTCTCTGAAGTATCCTCAATTAGTTTTCCTGACAGTAGATGTTGACGAGCTAATGGTAATTATTAATTCTTTCACAAACATTTAAATAAAATCTGTTTTCATGCTTAGCTTCAGATTTGGGTGGCTATTTTTTCAACAATTACACCATGTGCCTTGTTTTACTTGTACTTGTTGCCCCTGAATTTTTTAATTTTATTTAATGGTCGGAGGTATATTCAAATCTCTATAACATGCATGACCACTACGGTCAACAGAGTGAATAAATGATAATAAAAATGATGGCCTGAAGTGGAAGCTGCGATTTGTTGATCAGTAATCATGATAAATGCTTGAGGGTTATCATACTCTTTGTTTTTAAAAGCGCTATGAATTTTGAGGTTTGCCGAGTTGGCTCTATGAAAGTTTGTTTGATTGGCAAAACCTTGAACGTTTGCTTTTTGTTTGTATTTCTATGTTCATCCATGTTCTTATTCTCTTTGACGACCGACATTCATCCAGCGTTTCCACTATATATTATAACGTAATACTTCAGGTGTACTAAGGGAAGTACCATTTTTATTTATGTGACATTAATGGATGAAACATAACAGTTGTCCTTAATTGACATAAAGTTAGACATTTGTAAATACTTGGATAAATCAATTTTCTGTTAAACATTAATTTGTCTTGCTATGTATGCGCATGTACATTGATAGTTCTAACATGCTTATTTATATTGAGTCAACCTTTAGTAGTGTTGCGGGCTAGAATATACGCGGCGATAGAGTCAGAATACTACATCTTAGCGTTGCACGGATATCCGCTCACACACAGAGAACACAAGATTTTTATGTGAAAAATCCTGGAAATGGGGAAAACCACGGGGCCTAGCCCAGTTGAAAAGATTTCACTAGAATTTGAGTTGATTACAGTGGGCTGACTCGTCCCAGAGGACGATCATATTACAAATGTCAACCGTATGATTGAGATCTAGTGTAAAATATGGCGTTCCTCGGAAGTTGGGGCGTCTGTTAGTAGTCTGACAGCAACTTGGCAGAATTATGGCGTTAGTTGATGGTATGACGGAGTTTTAGGGCCTCAAGTGTTGGTCCGGCGGAGTTCAGGCCTTTAGGCAGAGATCTGACGAGGGTGAGGGCCTAAGGCGGTGATCCGGCGAGTGTGAGGGCCTCAGGTGGTGGTTTGGCGAAGGCGAGGGCCTCAGGTGGTGGTCCGGTGAAGGCGAGGGCCTCAGGTGGTGGTCCGGCGAAGCACAGGGCGTCAAATGATGGTCCGGCAGAGCACAGGGCGTCATGTGGTGGTTCGGTGGAGCACAGGGCGTCAGGTGGTGGTCCAGCGGAGCACAGGGCGTCAGGTGGTGATCCGGCGGAAGTCCGGCGGTGGTGGAACAACGGTGATTCGACTGAACTCCGGCGGTGGTTCGACGAAACTCCGGCGGTGGTTCGGCGAAACTTTGACGGTGGTCAAGGAGGCAAGAGCGATCTCCGATCTCTCTCTTTTTTTCTTAGGTTGAGGGGTCCCTTTTCAAGAGGAGAGGGAGTTCTATTTATAGATTTTTAGAATGGCATGACCCGTAAATAGGTGGAGGATCAAGGGCAAGTTGGAGTGATTTGGATGGACGGCTGATATTGAATCCCTTGATTGTGGAGCATTCGCAGGCTATTTGAAGGTCTTGATGATGTCGGAATTTGGTGATGTTGGGCTCGTTGGATTCGTCTCGTTGAGCCACTCGATTCGACTATAAGCTTGTTATGTTTGGAAACTGTTTGGTAATCCAAATTGTGGTTCGAACCTTCCAACAACGCTTCGGGTCCTTGATTTGGACCCATTTGGGCTCGGATTGGGTCGAATTTGGTGTCATTGGGTTCGTATTTCTGAGACGCTCAGTTCGACTGTAAGTTTGCTGAAATCGGAGTTCAGATGCTCCTAATTTTAATTTCGGAAGTTTCCAACTTTATTTTGCTTTGAGATTCGTGCCCCATCAAGATAATTTTTTGGCGATTTTTTGACGATGTATCAAGTAGTATTTTTGGTTGACAGTGCATAGAAATGGATATCCTTGCAACTATTTTATGCAATAGCTCTAACATGCTTATTTATATTGAATCCACCTTTAGTAGTATTTTTGGTTGACAGTGCAATAGAAATGGATATCCTTGCAAGTATTTTATGCAATGCACAAATGCACAGAAGTGTTCTTTACATTAATCTCATTTGATTTCATCACTTTTTACCCATACACTTTCTGGATATTCTCAGTTTTTGGTATGGGTTTTCTCATAACAATTTTATTTTTATGGCGGCCCACTACATGATATAGTTATATATTAGGATATCGGTAAGAGCTTCAAATGGAAATAAGTTCTTATCTATTATGTCAAATTATGGAGCCTAATTGATGCCCTAGGAAGAAACTTCTTATGCGGACTTAGTGCACAGATATATTGGGTTAGAAGTATGGAAAGAGTGTGCTGCATTGTGACAGTCAGTATTATTCATTTATAACAATTCCGATTTATTATACTAGGACAAAGTATATTCAAGTAAGTTATCACTAAAGCAGGATAAGATTTTAATGTTTGAGAAGACTCTAGGGAGCTTACATACAGTTGATATGCCGATCAAGACTATGATTTCATTTGGGACGGTTTTCTTTCTGCTTCTTAAAACAACTTTCTAGTACAAAATTAAAATTTATGTACTAGAAAGCTGCTTTAAGAAACAGAAAGAAAGCCTTCCCAAACGAAGCCTATATTGATGAAAAAATAGAAGTCATATGCTACTCGAATTGGACTTCTGCACAAGGAGTGAGAAATTAATGTTGTTGTAGTGGAGATGTGATGATTTATTAGTCTTCAAGTGGGAGATTGTTTAGTTGTGGTGTCTAATTAATTCCCTACAAAGAAGTTGGTTTCGAAGACTCAGTACATGAGGTTATAGAGGCATCCAATATTTGTTTTTTTTTGGTTCAGGGTATTTTGTGATTTTACATGTATCATTGATTGCACTAGTTGTTCATTATAAAAGGGCCGTCATTATTAAAATTTCTATTGAAGAGTGATTTAAAAAGATGAAGGAATATCTTGACTTACTAAACTTTTGAATACTAAAAAGATGCCAGATCAGTGGAGAATGAGTGTGTTAATTCCTATTTTTAAGAATAAAGGTGATGCATATGAGTGTGCGAATTATAGAGGAATTAAGTTAATGTGTCATACTTTAAAACTATGGGAGCAAGTTATGGAGCATAGGTTGAGGCATGATACTAATGTTTCTCAAAATCAATTTGGATTCATGCCGGGTAGGTCTACTATGGAAGCCATACATTTATTGAGAGGTTTGATGGAGAAATATAGAGAGAATAAGGAGGATCTACATATGATATTTATTGATTTAGAGAAATCATATGATAAAGTTCCAAGAGAAGTGCTATGGAGGTTCTTGAAAATAAAAGAGTTAATAATGCTTAGATTCAAATCATTAAAGATATGTATGCAGGAGCTATTACTTGTGTTCAAACACAAGGTGGTTTGACCAAGTATTTTCCTATTTCGGTTGGATTACATCAAGGATCAGCCTTAAATCCATATCTTTTTGCTTTAGTCATGTATGTTCTCACTAGACATTTGCAAGAGGATGTACCTTTGTGCATGCTTTTTGCTGATGATATTCTTTTTGTTGATAAGACTGGAGAGGGAGTTGAAGGTAAACTTGAATTATGGAGGTCAACTTTAGAGTCTAAAGGTTTTTGCTTGAGTAGATCTAAAACTGAATATGTGGAGTGTAATTTTAGTGGAAATAGACCTAGTGAGGGGATTGTGGCTTTGGGCTATCAAGTCATTAATAAGAGTACATGTTTTAGATATCTTAGATCTATTGTTCAGAGTGATGGTGAAATTGATGGGGATATTATCAGCAGAATTCAAGTTGGATGGTTAAAGTGGAGGAATGCATCGGGCTTATTGTGCGATAGAAAAGTGCCTCTCAAACTTAAGGGAAAATTCTATAAGATGGTAGTGAGGCCTGCAATGCTTTACGGTGCCGAATGTTGGCCTTTAAAAGAGAAGCATAATACTAAGTTAAGTGTGGCAGAGATGTCCTCATTAATTCCTCATTAGGGAATTAATTGCTCTCTCTTGGGAATTCAAATTTCCCCTCCAAAATTCTCCAAAACTGAAATTTCTTTCAGTTTTTGCCTTGTTTCCTACACCCATCCCTCCTCACCCCACATCCACCGCTGGCCTCCTCACCCCTTCTACAACCCGCCGCCCCCCATCTCTCCTCCTTGGAGATTTATTTGCGGCGACCACCCTTTCACCTCTCCAAGGATGCATGGAGGTTCTCGAGTGGAATTTCGGGTTTGAGTACGACAACCGCGGACGAGTGAACATCCTCCGGTCTCCCTTCTTCGACGTCGGATTCGACTTCGATGACACCGTCGAGGACTATTTGGACCGGATCCTACCGGCTCTAGTGGATTCCATCGACGATCATTTTTCTGTCTACACGTGGATCGTTGAAGGGCGTCGTTTCGCACCACCTCCATGACCCGCGCCGACCTCTCCTTCCCTACGGATCTACGGCGCCATCGCCCTAGGAGTGTTTTCATCATTCGTGTGGTTCTTCTTCTCCCAACAAGCCTAGAAGTAGGTAAATGAGAGTAGCCTCAAGGTGAGACAATCGCTTTGTTAACCGCGGGATTCTAGTTGGCTTTTCATTTGCTTTACTTTTATTACCGTTGTTATCTTATTGGTCTTGCTAATTTAGGTGTAAGCTCTTGCCTAACCATAGTTGAATTCTAAGATCTCCGAAAAGTTTCAATTGAGAACACAATTAAGCTTGCAATTTCATCACTTGAACAATTTTTTATTAAGTTTCTAAATTCAATTCCTGGTTTCACATCACTTGCAATGCTTTATGGTGCCGAATGTTGGCCATTAAAAGAGAAGCATAATACTAAGTTAAGTGTTGCAGAGATGAGGATGCTTAGGTGGATGAGTGGCTTGACCCTTAGAGATAGGATATGAAATGAGCATATACATGTAAAGCTTGGAGTAGCTCCAATGGAAGATAAGATTAGAGAGAGTCGCCTTAGATGGTTTGGTCACATTAAACGGAGGCCTTCCGATGACCTGGTTAGGAAAGTTGAGGTATTAGATTTGGCTTATGTTAAGAAAGGTAGAGGTAGGCCTAAAAAGACTTGGTTAGAAAATATTAGAAATGATCTTTCTTTATTAGATTTAGATGAGAATTTGACTTTTAACCGGACACAATGGCGAAAAAGGATTCATGTAGCCGACCCCACGTAGTGGGACAAAGGCTTGATGTTGTTGTTGTTGTTGTTGTTGTTGTAGTGATTTAAAAAGATGGAGTAAAAGAGAGTCTTCTAATTTTCTTTGAAAAATCTAATTATCATCATTAGCATAGTGAACCTTATAGCAGCCGTAAGAGGAAGCAGCATAAATTGGCTGAACATGTATAAAAACTTTTGATGTTTTTTCCTATTATTTTCTTCCATTTCTTTGTTCTTGGTAGTTTTGAATTAGGGTTTGTCTAATTCTCCATATAATCTGGAATCTTTCGAAGAGGTTTAGGTCCTAATGAGAATATTGTCAATAGGAGAATGATCAGGCCTTTCCCCATGCAATAACAAGTTTTTTGGTTTGGTTTGCTCCGTTTGCGTGTGGCTCTTGGTATGAATGCGTTGAAAATGTTATGCAAACATGCAAGCTATTATTTGTCTTTTACATTTTCGGTTTACTATAAGTGTTGCAGAGATGAGGATGCTTAGGTGGATGTGTGTCTTTACCCTTAGAGATAGGATACGAAATGAGCATATACGTGAAAAGGTTGGAGTAGCTCCAGTGGAAGATAAAATTAGATAAAGTCGCCTTAGATGGTTTGGTCACATTAAATGTAGGCCTTCTGATGACCCGGTTAGGAAAGTTGAGGTTTTAGATTTGTCTTATATTAAGAAAGGTAGAGGGAGACCTAAAAAGACTTGGTTATAAAATATTAGAAATGATATTGATGTGAATCAATCATGCGATGAAATGCGAATTGCACTTAAAATTAATAGAAATATTGAATCATAGCTTGCTACCAAAACTTTATGCGTAATCAATTGAAGTTCAAGAATTAGAAGACGAATGATTAAGTAACAACAAGAAATCACAGTCAGAGATTAGAAGGCTTTTCAAAATAACATCAAAACTTCAAGTAATGCGAATAGCTAAAATTAACAAAGCCCTGGCGAAAAAGGATTCATGTAGCCGACCCAACTTAGTGGGACAAAGGCTTGATGTTGTTGTAATTGAAGCTTCCAACATAGAGCTCTTTCTTTTGGATTGAAAACTAAGTTTCCGTTTTTCCTTACGGGTTTAAGCTGGTACAGTTTTTCTTTCACTGAATGCTTTGAAAAGCCGATTTCCTTCATGTGAGTTATTAGCTGCAATGATTCACCACTGATAACATTATTTCTCCTACCAACAATATTTTTTCCTGCTATAAATAACTCCACCCCCACAACTTTTGTCTGTCACATCAAACTTACTTGATAGCTTACTGCTTGCAGGACCTCAGTTCATCTCTGGATATTCGTGCAACTCCAACGTTCTTTTTCATGAAAGATGGACAACAAATAGATAAGCTTGTGGGTGCCAACAAACCTGAACTAGAGAAAAAAATACTTGCATTGGCAGAATCAAGCAAATCTTCTAGCTCTTAAATGATTCCTCCTACCAAAGATTTGTTACGTAATAGAGATAAATCACAGCACCTCTACTCAAGCTGCAACGGTTGGAAAAGCAGTTTCAGTGATGTTATTTCTTGATATTGTACTAGCTTTTGTGAGTCTGAGAGCAATTAGTTTGTTCCAATCACTTCTCATCACAAGAAGAGTGTGACAGGCCCTAGTATGGCATAGGAATTGATCTTTGGTGGTACTTGTAGGGAAATACTGAAGGCTGTCTGAAAAAAAAAAAAACAGTTACAAAAAATGTAATATTTTGCTCATTCTATCTGTAATTTATTTTTTTGATTTTGAATTTAGATGCAATTATAGAACTGGATAATAGGACATATTAAGTGGCAGAAATGGTTCAGGGAAACTGGCTCTGCCCCTTAATTTTATCACTTGTTGTATATAGGTTATCTGATCTTCATATTATTGTAAAGGTTAAGAAAGCAGACCTCACTTATTATGGCTGTGGTCACATGCCTCTCAAGTCTCAACTGGTTAGGTCAGAATTGGGTCAACTCTGACTCAGTTTATAGCTCATAACAATGATGTGTTGAATATATTCATAGGCCTCTCAAGCCTTTGCGATTTCAGGGCCATGGTATTCATGCACTATCTTTTTCTTGGGATCCATGGATTCAAGGAAGCTCTATTTGGATACATTTGCTAATGAGTTCAGATTGCCTGCCAATCTGTCCAATGCCATAATATTCAATTTTGTGGTTAACGGGAAGTGTGATATCTTCTGAATTGTTGGCCCTATATTATGAGGGAAAATTTTTCTGCTGTTGTTATCTCATCTAAGCAATGCGAGAATGTTCTTTGAATGAATTTTTGCAACACCTATTTTTCAAAATTTCTTACATGCTTGATATCAATGTATCACTTCGATCTCCTTGTATAGACATATTTGGTATAAGAATTATGCCCTGTGGTTATGGATAGATTATTACGTTCGTAGTCTATATATAATGAATTGTTTGATTTTGTGACTGTGAACAGTAAAAGCGCAGTTGTGCAGCTATTGTTTCCTCTTGAGCTTTTATTGTTCACAGTCACAAAACCGAATGATTATCTGTGTATGGACTCTGCACCTAATAATCTCTCGTAGTTCTAGGTTTTCTCAGGGTTGGCCATGATAGAGGGTTTAAGAATAGCATATGCTCTAATCTATAGTAACATTTTGATGAATCCTTGTTGTCCATTCTAATTTGTGATTATGCATTTCCTCTCATCTTTTCTGTTATGCCCGAATATTTAGCAAATGTTTGATTACATTTTAGAAATCAATAGAGCTTTTAGAAATGAAAAAAAAAAAAGCTTGTTACATATCCATCTATTGTTGCATTTACTATTTTTGAAAAGAAAAAAAAAAATGATAGGAGATTTGAGAATTCTACCACTGCCTTCTCCTCAGCCTTTTGTTGCATCAAAATGGCTATTTTTCTCAAAATTTCAAGCTTGAAGAATTACTGCGCTATAAAGGATATATTTCAATGATCTTTTGTTCAATTTTTTTGAAATATGATGACATGCTTCGGCTGCATGCCACTCAACAATACTTTCTTTATTAGACAATCACCTCTGATTAGGGGTGTCAATTTTTGACACGACCCAAAACACGATCCAAATCTGACCTAAAAAAATTCGGGTTCGGGTCAACCCGAATCCGAAACGGGTTGAATTCGGGTTGAACAAAATCAACTAAAAGCAACGTTGACAACCCAAGTAGCTAAGGAAACCGGATCACTAAATGGGCCGACCAAAATCAAACTAATAGGCCGGATGAAACTTTTGGACCCGGTCCATTAACCTCCAACTCTCTATATATAAAATCAGACGCTACGTCCGTAAACCCTAGAGATCGCGTCTTCTTCAGTGAGGCGGTGATTTTGCGTCTTCATTTTAGTCTTCTATACCCCTCTAACTTCTGAAAGCTAGTCATTTTGATCTTCCTTACTAAGATTTTACTGCATATTTTTGTTTTTTAACAGGCCATAACTCATTGTCTTCCTCGTTCTTTTCATTTTATTCAGTCGAACATTGTTTACTGTGTTTGTGATGATTCGTATGCTTGTATGTTGTTTGAGTTTCTAAGGTGTGTGACTGTTTGATTTGACTATGGAGCTTGCATTGCTATGGTAGTTCTGTATAGTTTTGGGGTTTGTTGGGCGATCCGTTCTCTCAGTTTTTTCACTCATTAGGCTTGTGATATATAAGAATGAAACGACTCTTTTAACAAAACAAGTTTCCGAGCAATTTATGGTTATGCTTTTTAATCTTTACTACGTTTTGTTCTTTGGGCTCAACTTCAATAGAAATTTATCTCTCTTGCTTGATTGGAGTGCTTTTGATGATTATTGAGATGGCGATTTGAAATTAGATAGTAATTAATGATAGTTCTAATAATTGTAATAAATAATTTAAGGTATTTTAGTAGTTAATGTGTAGATAATGAATCATAGAGAGTACTTGCAATTTAATATGTATTTCACATTACGGAGCATTGGGGATAAATGAACAATTTGGCCTCTTGTATTATGATTCTTCTCCATTTTCTTAGTTTTTCAATTTTTGGAGTTGACATCTTGAATTGTCTTGGATCTTCTTTCCTGATATTTTTTTGACAAACTACAGCAAAGCCATGTCAATTTGTGCTCTTCATTTTCTCAATCTTTTAATTTCTTGAGTTCTTATCTCAACCAGAGCACAAATTGATATGATTTTTTTTTTTCGTGAGAATTGCTAAAATACAGTGAAGGAGACACCGACAATTATATAAATTAGAAGATTGAGGAGGTAGAGAATGAGATTTACTAGAGAAGTGGTAGATGTCTCCTACTCTCTAATGGAGAATTTATAGAATTACAAGCACTTTTTAACACTCATTTACTATTTGTTAGTCACTAATGCAACTAATAAATCTATTAAACTTATCAGAACTAGCCTTAACTTTGAACCCTTTTGCCCTTTTTCGTTATGTTCTTGTTTTCCCCTTGTAATTCAAATATGGCCTGTGATGAGGAAGTGATATATTGCCTACATTGTTTGATTATTTTCCATGAGAACAACAATACATCTCTCTGAGGCCAGCATACAAGACTTTTATGCTTTTTCACAAGTTGAAGAAAGTTGGGTTTGTTTGCCAAATTTCCATATATGTTTGAACATCTGTTTCTTTTATATGCTTCTTTTAGGCCCTGGCTTTGGAAGTGCAAAAATTTAGGTGTTTTGAGTTTATTAAAATCTCGATGATGAATGATCTTTTCTTCTTGGGAGTGCTCCTACCTTCTTAACCTTTAGGGGCAGAACCATCCTCTTTTCTTCTTGGGAGTGTCCCACCTTCTTAACCTAGGGTTTTCTGTGAACACTAGTCACCTTGGTTTCCCAAGCTTCTTCCTTGATCGGGGTACTCTCCTCTCTGCCTCTCTCCTCTTCCCTATCCTCCAGCTCTCCTCCTTTTCATGGCTACTAATTTGCTTGTAGATTTTTCGCATCTATCCAACCTCAATCCTAACTCTTTTGTTAATAATCCATCCACTTCATCCCTCTCTGGTCCTCTTTCTTCTCTGTATTGGAAAGGGTTGCTTACTAATCTTAATCCCTAGAGTTCCTCTCTCCAACATTCCTCCTCAGGACAAGGTTCTTCATTTATTTGAAGATGAAATCCCTAATGGCTCGAAGGAGTGGGGGTTCTCCCTTGTTGGATATGATATAGGAAGATGACCTTATTACTAGGCGAATTTATCAGTCAAGAAAAGAACTTGGATGGTAAAAGGTACTTTTTCTTACTCTCCTTAAATGAAGGCTTTTTTCATTTTAAGCTTTTAGCTTCTGAAGACTATGAAATGGCCTGGATAGGAGGCCCTTAGTTTTTCGCAGGAAAACTTTTCATTCTCCAAAAATGATCTCCCTTATTTAGATAAGACGAAAGAAATTTACCTTCATTCTCTAATGAATCAAAATCCACGATGTGTCTTTTAGTTTGCCCTTGCTGTTGATTGCATTTGCATTTGCTGTATTATAGCATTTGCCCTTGCTGTTGATTCCCTTTCAACCCATGAACTTGTTTAACTTTGGCCGTGGTATGTGCTCAGGTTCAAAATAATGCCTCATCGGATGATATATTTGTTTTTGTTGCTGGAAAAAGAATTAGTTTACGGGTCCAATATGATTGGAAGCTGACTCCCTGCACAGGTTGTGTTTCTTTGGTGCATCCCACAAATTCTCATTTTATTCTGATGGAAAGTATGCTTTCTGGATGGTATAAGCATAAATATGCCCTCATCCTCCCAAAGCCTCTAAATAGTGGAAATATATATATGCTCCATTGCTCATAAAATTAGAAACAATATTACCTTCCAGATTCACTCCAATAGTTCTCTTTCTCTGTTATGAGATCCCTTATCTGAGCTTTCAGATCTTGCTGGTCTGAGAGATTTGCACTCTTTGCACGTCAACAACATTATCACCCAAATGGCTGGATTATTCCTTCATGTTTCTGGTTTTCCTTGTGATATTTCAACTAGTGCATCGTATCTTCTTCTTCTACCTGGAGATTTGTATTTTTTGGACATTCTGAGTACGTAATTAGGCAGAGGCCTTTTAACCCTTATGGGGTCTTTTTGGTTGCTATTTTGCTTTTCTAAATAGGTTCTGTTGAGTTTTGCTTTTTAACCAACTCAGTCTCATATTATAGATCATTGTTGTGAGCTGTAATTTTGTTTTTATTTTCTTATAGCGAAAGAAGTTAGGCGTTGCCCTAATTCTTCTAGAAAAAAAACAACTTTTGTCTGAAAAAATGCTGTGATTTTGCAATGTAAATAAAATTTTTATTCAATTCAGAATTTCTTTGATAAAAATGAAAGATTTTTATTCTTAAAATTAATAAGATCAAAAATAAGATTCAAATAAGTCTGGTTTTTATAAACCGAACCATCAAAAATAAGAATGAAATTGATTAAGAAAAGAGCCTTTAAATCAAGATGTTGATAGCCCAATAAACCTTTTAAGAGAGGAGCCTTTAAATTAGTGTTCATAGACCAAGGGAAGGGTAGAGGATATCATGTCATCCTAATTTGGCAATTATTATCAGAAATGGGAAAAGCTGTACCATATGGTGCTTTTGCTGCAAATTCCAATTCACTTTTTTGAATGTAGTGTTAAAAAGGTATAATTTTTTTTTTTGAAATTGTTTGGATAAATATAAAATGAATGATTCTTTTTGGTTGGTCTGAAATAATAAATATAGAGTAACAATAAAAATTGAGAGCGATGGTGGTGGTGTTCGGAGGTAGATGGTGGTTGGAGGTTATGGAGATCAATAGTGATAGTGGCTAGTGGTAGGTGGTGGTTGATGACGGGGGAGGTTGGCAGTGATGGTGGCTTGTGGTTGGGGCAGCAATAGTGATGGTGGTGGTGGGTGTAAGGGTGCCAATTTTGGGTCACGGGTCGGGTTTGGGTTGAACTCTGAATTGATTCGGGTTCAAACTGCTACCTGGGAAGGAAAATGAGTTAGAAATTCGAACCTGGACTCGACTCGGTGGGTTGTCGGGTTGACCCGACACGAGGTGGGCTCAGACTCGAACGCGGACTCAGATGCGGGCTTGGACTCGGACGAGGATGCGCGAGGAGAGTTGTGGCAGGTGCGTGGGGAGCAGCGTGGTAGCGTGCTGGCAGGGGGCAGGCAGCTTCATGAGAAGGGGTCGGGCAGGTACGCGGGTAGTCTGGCAGATGTTTTTAATGAGTTTTCGGGTTGACCCGGGTCAACCCGTCGAGTCAATCCGAACCCGACCCGTAACACTACCAGGTTTGAAAATGGGTTGGGTCAAACCCGAAATTTTTTAATCGAGTTTGTGTCGAGTTTTCATGTCGTGTCAAATATTGACACCTTTAGATGGGTGGTAATATTTGATGGTGGCCAGTAGGTGGCATGGGTGGATGGCGATCAAGATAGCTTGTTTGTGTTTAAAAAAATAGTTGAATTTAATTTACTTCAAAACCAATTAAAATAGTTTACATTTATTTTGCTCAATTTTTATATTCCAATAAATTTTTTTTTTAAATTAATACATTTTAAATAATTTTCATCACTTTGCATTCAAACCAAACAATCACTAAACTTAGAGGCTATCTTCCCATAGCATTCATGCTTCCCACAAACCATTTGAATTGCATTTTTTAAGCTCTGATTCTTGATTTAGAGGCTATGCCCTTAATTACCATAATAAAAAAGCAAAATATGGAATGTCAGTTCTAACAATTCTTTCAAACATAGACGTGCCATTAACCCGGGGATCCCAAAGCAGAGAAAAGCTCAAACCTTTATCAAATTTATATAAGACTTCATTTGAAATGATTTTTTTTATTATTTATTAAAAAGAAATTTTAATATAAAAATTAAAAATTTTCACTAATTTTTTTTAAATAATTAAAAAAATTCTTCCAAACTAAGTCTAAAACTCATCTTATAAACACATGGGATCCCGTACAACTATATAGAATTTTTTTTTTTTTTTGGGACATTTAGGCCATGTAAGTCAAACTCACACACTCAACGCATTACACATACACTCGAACCTTGGACCTCTTAGTTGGAAGCCTAAGCTCTCAACCAATAGGCCAAAAAGAGTTGTGTTATATAGAATCTTAAGAAGCATTAAACCACTCAGAAAAGAAGGCTTTACTCAGTAAGTAAACGCCAACCAACTTTCACTTTACAGCTCAAATTCAGAGCAAATTATTGGGTTTGGTCCAACATGTTCGGAGCCCAATAAAAATGCGCTACATCACCTCCCACTCGGTATTGAGCAATACAACCGAGTTCAATATTGCTCAGTACTCATTACTGCTCGATATTGTGAAGTATTGAACGCAAGCTGTGTCTGGTGTCCGAACCCAATAATCTCTCCAAATTCAGAGAAGAAGCTGATAATAATTCAGTAAACAACTCTCTTTGATATGTTGGTTGAAAATTTTGACTATCAAGTAAGAGGTCTTATTTTAATCTTTTATATGTGATGAATGTATGAGTTTGTTTTAATTAGTCTAAATATTTAAAAAAAAAAATCCAGTATCCTCTTCTCCCAAGTAAGAGAGAGAAATCCAAGAAATAATTTGAAGTTCTTAAAAATCTGAACTACAATAAGCATAAACAGACAAAGCAGGGAAACCTGGCAGAACAGTTTTGAATCACAAGTGATATTTGACAAACTTCCCATAAAAAATCATAAGGAAGAATAACCTCAAATCATTTACTATCATGACAAAAACATATAGTTCAAAAAGACATTAACCAAAATAAGAGCACATAACACAAAAATTAACGGTTAACAGTACCTTATAAACCTGTTGGGTTTAATACTGCATGGATCATTTAAATGGAGAAGAAGCCCTGTGCTGCAGAGGGCTTGGTTTCTGAAGAAAAACAGGAGGCCTGACGTATGTGAAACCAGTAAAGTTATAATCACCTGCTACTGGACTGGCAATGGGAGAATCAAGCACCGACATGCTGGTCCACTTTTCGTCGAAGTTGGCAATGCTCGATTTGTCTGAAACATTAGGCCTGAAGCTAGGTTGTATTTCTCTCGCATCAAGTTTCTTCCAGTTGATTGATTTGAACCACACGTGTTTCTTTATCTCATTGCTGCCATCAGCTCCACCGCCAAGCCGCTTGTTTGCTTCCTTTTGCAGCAGCTGTGAGTTTAGAAATAAGCAAAGAATTTGAGGTTGTGGATTTGAGATTACAGTGATTTTAATGCTAATTTGATAGGTTTTGTTGTTGGTATTAGTTTTATTAATAGTTTCTGATTGAGTGTTTGGTTAAAGATGAGTTTAACATGTTTGATTCCAATTTTATTTTGATTGATCTATGTTTGGAAGTCAAATTGTTCTATTTAGATAGATTTATGGGGCTTAAAACACGAGGCTATTTGGTTGGAATATTTTAAGGTGTAGAATAAATGAATGGGTTTTAGAAAATTTGGTGTTTGGTTGGATGAAAAGTAAATCCAAAGCAAAGTAAATACAGTGTATTCCATTCTAGTTCATTTTTGAGGTAAATTGTTCTCGTCCAATTTTGAGGGAAAACAGTTTATACTACCCCAAAGCTTGCTTGACCACTACCGACGGCCACTGCCTCCATCATCAACTTGCTGTCGATCGCCACCACCTGCCTCCAATGCCGAATACTCCGGGAACAACCAGTTTATACTTTACATTGCATTCACTTTACTTCAAACCAAACAAAAAAAGAAAAGTCACGCATTCTTTTTACACTCATTCAAACAACTCCAAAGCATTTCATTTATGGTACATTCCTTTTTCAAGAAATAAACAGCCCTAATATAAAGTATGGCTCATTAGGTTTCTTATATATAGGAAATATGCTTTAGAGAGTGAGATTCTAATTTTCCTTTTTTGTGTGTGTGAAAATCAAATATATCATATTTGAGAGAATTGAAGGTGTTTATATAAAGTTTTAAGTTTGCACTTCTAACGGATTAAGTGATAAAATTTGATAAATTTCTTGCTTGGAAGCTTGATTTTTTAAGTTCAAGCAACCAAACGGAACCTTGCATCCAAACAAATGGTGGAATCTATCAAATTTAATTATTTTTAAAACTTAATTTTTTATTTACAAGCAATCAAATGAGCCCTTGTAAACTCAAAGATTTAACTGAAACAATCAGAAAGGAAAACGTACCCCTTTTAATATAGAGTGGGCTTCACTGGATAAATAAGATGGCAGCTTTATCTTATCCTTCACTATCTTCTGCTGAATTTTATTCCGGTTCCCTCCAACAAATGGTGGCTGTAAATGAAATTAGCCATACTTAGATAACAGCACTTAAAAACATGCAATGAAATAATTTTTTTTTTATTATTGCACAATAAAATTAAAAACTCATCGGATTTGTAAGAAGAGATACCTTCCCAGTGAGCATTTCAAATAGGAGGATTCCAACGCTCCACCAGTCTGCAGCCTTATCATGACCTTTCCCAAGAATGATTTCTGGTGCCATGTATTCCACAGTTCCACACATGGAGTTTGATCTAGTATTCTCATCAAATTCCTTTGCCAGCCCAAAATCAGTCAGCATTACCTAAACAAAAACATTTGAAAATTTGGAATAATTAATTTAGGCTTCGTTTGGGACGGCTTTCTTTATGCTTCTTAAAGCAGTTTATAGTAAAAAAGAAAGTTGTTTTAAGAGGCAGAAAGAAAGACATCCCAAACGAAGCCTTAATTATTAAGTTGAGAGGATAGAAAGTTTTGACGCAAATTATTCCACGAGGGAAAGAAGAGAAGAGGGAATTTACATGACCATCAGCATCCAGAAGGATGTTCTCGGGTTTAAGATCTCTGTGCATTATTCCATTTGCATGAAGGTGGGAGACAGCAGAGACTATTTCAGCTGCATATATACGTGCTAGATCCTCTCTGAAATGAAAGGAAAACAGTGGACTATGGAAATGAGAATTTACAAAGATTTTTTGGAGTAAGGCAAATGATGAAGATGAAGATCATTCTAAAATAAAGCAGTCACAGAACAATAACCTGAATAAACCATGGTGATAGAGCTGAAAGAACAAGTGTCCCCCGTTTACAAAATCCAAGACCAGGTAGAGCCGATATTTTGTCTGCATAATCTCCCACATAAATCAACAACACCAATGCTTTCCAATTAATATATAAGAATATTCATTTCGCATGACTTAACGTCAATATATGTATATGCGACAAATTCAGTGTAAAACAGTAGCGAAATTTAAACCCATAAAACTGACAAACTTGCAACCTTGCTGGTCCACAGTTGATAACCATTGTTAACAAACATGGCTTTTTTTTCCAACCGCCAGAAAATTTTTAAGTTGGGAGTTTATTATAGTGTAGTAGAGGAATTAGGATCTAATAAAAAATTTGGCAAAAATTTTTTGAAGTCCTTACTGATCTGACTAGTAAACACGTGCTCATATAATCAGCAGTATAATGAATGGAACATGAATGCTTGATGTTTAAAGTGTGCTTGCGTCTAAAGTGCTTCCCCTGAATCATAACAAGGTGCTTGTTGATCTCATTTTCAAATCATACTGGTGATAGCCGTCTATTCTTCTTTAAATTGAATCGAGACGTGCTCAAATTAACCAAAAGCCATTTTGATCTCCATTAAATTAAGCTCAATCGAATCACGACGGACCAATTCGACTTCGACCGGTCTAAATTAACTCGAGTTAATTTAAGTTAAATAGATATTAATTAATTCAAATCGACACAATCGAATTCAATCTAAATTCAAATTGATAAAATTCGGTTAATTAATTCAGCCTTTCATCCCTCCACTCCTCTCAAATACAGCAAATTAATCTCAAATGGAGTTAATTTGTTGCAGTTGAGAAAGATTGGAGGGCTTAAATGGAATGGAAGGTTGAATTAATTAACCAAATTTCGTCAAATTTGAATTTAGATTGAATTCAATTGCATAGATTTGAATTAATCGATATCAATTTAACTTAAATTAACTCAAGAAGAGTTCATTTAGGAAATTTAGGCCAGCTGAAGCTGTCAAAGTCGATTTGGACTCGAGTCGAGTCAAATTGGTTCAATGTGGTCTGATTGAGCTTATTTGATTGTGATCAAATTAACTTTGGTTAATTTGATCTCGTCTTGATTCAATTTAAAGAAGAATCGATGACGATCATGTGTGCGATTTTTAAAACAATGTCAACATTGCTGATTTAAGTCAATAAGGCCATGATAAAACCACACCAAAAACAAAGTAGGTCAAGGAAAAATTAGTAGCAGCTATAAAATATGAAGCGCTTAAATGGCATATGCTATGCATGCTAAGTTGTCCATTGAAAACACAAAGATATATAGGCAGTGGTAAGCAATAAGGAGGGGAAACAATGGACTGGCTTCTAAAATTTCATCTTTAGGCAAAAGATCATTACACCATAAGAAATTGCTCTAATCTAAACATTGATATGAATAAATATGAATTTTGTTCGTATAGCTCCAAGTATCAAACAGAAGTCAATTCAAGGCATTGCAATATCAAAATATAACGAGGTAAATTGCTCAAGATCCATACCTGAAAGGAGTATCTAAGCTGAACCACAAATGGATGGTCAACTTTGGTCAATATGTCTCTCTCAGCTTTCATGTAATCAGCATGGTTCTTTTCCATTATCTTATCCTTTCTCATAACCTTCATTGCAAATATTTCTGAAGTGCCTTTTCTCTTCACCTGAAAAACTTTCCCAAAAGCTCCCTGCCCAACAACTTTTAAAACTTCAAAATCCTCAAGTCTCATGCTTGAAACCTCCTCAGTGGCATTATCATTCTTTTCAGGATCATTGATTGACTTCTCTTGATGAGCTGCATTCTCATCTAAGGAGCATTCCACAATCTCCAGAGAGCTCTCAGTCTCATGTAGGGTGAGCTTGGTGAACTGTGAAAACTGGGTAATACGAGGAGAAGGGCCAACCAGAGAGTGTGACCGGTTATGAATGACAAGTGGGGCAACACAAAATTTTCCATCTGCAGCTGATTGTGGAACAGAGTTTTCTGATGTTGACACATCAACATCAATTGAGGCATGGGACAAGGAAGGTCCAAAAACATCCGAAAAATCAAATTCCTCCTGATCAGCAGGAAGAGCATCAGGAGGATCCATGGGGAGAAGTACTTGTCTACTGGTCTTGTTTGGAAATGATATGCTACAGGAAACCATCAGCAGAAATGCTTTGCAGATGACAACCGGAACAAGAACCTAATGACAGTTATTAAGCCTTCTAAGGAAAGCCCCCACTACAAATGCCTAAGACAAAGGATGAAGATGGGTTCCTAACAGTGGCTTTGAACAAGAGGAAATTTACACAAACAATAGGAGCTCCCAGGAAGCCTGGGAGAAGGCCAACCAAAACTCCAGAGCTGTTCTTTCTTCCCGATGCACAGGAAACAGCAGAGGCCACTGTACGTTTGGAACTCATGAATATCACGTTGTCCCAAGCTGTTTAAATAATATAAAGGCAATGTTAGAAGCGATCCAATATAGAAAGAATAGTGCATTCGGATGAACATAGGAAGAAAGGCATGCAATACTACCACCCGTACATAATCAATTTACTCAACATCAATGTAACCTAATTTCGCCAATGAATAACTACTAATCTTTTTCTCTTTTTGCTCCCAGTCCACAAAATATATAGCAATATAAACCATTAATCACACACAGACGGTATAACATAAGCCCACTTCAGTTTTGGCTCATTGATCATCCACAACATGGTTATGAAAAAAAGGGAAACGAAAATTAAAAAAAAAAACTGCCACACTCACAAAAATCAAGTTTAAGGATGGCATACACAAACCACAAGGATGAACAAAACAGCACGCCCAAAACATATGGGTTGATATAAGATGAGCAAAAGAAAAGCATGTATTAGTTGCAATGAAAGATATAAAAGAATTAATTGGATGTCAACTAGTTTAGTTGGTAAAAATTCTGGTAGTTGTTTGCCAAAGCCCACGGATCAAATCCCGCATAAATCAAATTTGTACTTTAGCACTCAAACTCTTGCAAAATTTTTTCTCTCCAAAACATATATTAAGTTACAATATACTAAAGTTAACATCATCATCTGAAAGAGAGAAAAAAAAAAAACCTGCCCTAAATTATATATGAGGTTATAAGATGCTAAAAGTTCATATCACTAATCTAAACGAGGAAAAAATATACAAGGATGGGAAAAAAGAACAAACTTCTTAATACATAAGTAAATGCCAACAAGTAATTGCTAATCCTTTTTCTCTAAGTTAGTAATCCCCCAATTGTCTAAGTTTGCTAAATATGTGCAAGTAATTTTGGTTTTATTTTTGGGCAATTTCAATACTAATTCTTTTATTTTAAATCAAATGGAGAATTGATATAATTGATTTAAAATTAAAGATGTTTTTTTAACTAACTTATTGATTAATATATTAATTACATTTGTTTTTAAGTTACTTTTCTTTTGATTAATTAAAATATTAATAACAATTAATGTTTAGTTAATATATTCTTTTCTTTTAAGTTACATAATATATATTTATATATATTGAGTAAAGTGTACCCCACACAACAATTCCGGTTTCTATCCTATTGGTAAGCAGGAAAACCGAGTGGAGCTCTTGGTTTTTGTGAGAGAGGCTGAAATGGATTTTGCTAGAGGAGGAGAACTGTGTGGCTAGGGCATCATTTTATTTGCTTGTTATAAGGAGAAGTTAAAATCTAGTATATTAATAGTAATAAAAATATACTCTCATATTTTCTATATTAGATTTTAATTTTTTGAGTAATCGAGTCAATCGGTTATTCATGCTCTAGCTCGGTTCCTCCGTTAGATCCTTGTTCTTAGTATGTTTTATCTATAGGTTTGAATCGCAAGTTTAATCATTCTTTATATGTTATTTGGATAACGTTGTTGACAACAAGAAAGTTCTAATTCCTATTTATGCTTGTTAAGATTTGGAGATTTTCGATTTACTGTTTTTGTCAAAAGAACTGAATATATCTTGTAGTTCTATTGTATCATTTTCTTCACATATCACATTCTTTCCACAAGCTCATGTTAGACAAGTCATTCTTGTTATAATCTTGTTTTACTATTGTTCAATTATAGTAAATTGCAATCGATCTCAATTTTTCTATTGATATGTGAAGAAAGTGATACAATAGAACACCTAAAATCCCCAAATCTTAACAAGCACATAGCAATTAGATCTTTTTTCTTGTCAACAACCTTCTCCAAATAACATATAAAGAAGGATTCTACGATTCAAGACTATAGCTAACACATACTAAGAACAAGGATCTCATGGGATAACCAACCAAGAGCATGAATAACCAAGTAACTCAATCACTTAAAAAGCTGAAACCTAATATAGAAAACAAGATAAAATACCTTCTCTAATCTCTATTACCATTCATATACTAGATTTTAGGGGTGTCAATTTCGGGTCACGGTTCGGGTTGAACCCGGAACTGACCTGGGTTCAAACGGAACGACCCTAACCCGACCCGTGTATGTAAACAGGTCAGAAACTCGGACCCAGACCCGACCAATCGGGTTGGCGGGTTGACCCGACCTGATAAGGTTTGGCATATGGGGGCAGCGGGGCGGCGTGCATCCAACGCGCGGGATTGCCGGGGGCGGGCGGGCGCGGATGCGTGCAAGCGGGCGGCGGACCGTGTGGTTCGCGAGAACGCGCGCGAGCAGGCAACAGCGGGTTGTGCGAGTTGGCAACAGCGGGTCGTGCGAGCTGGCAGCAGCGGGCAGGTGGGGGCAGCTCAGGCAGCAGCGGGCAGTTCAATTTAAACGAGTTTTCAGGTTGACTCGGCAACCCGTCGGGTTAACCCAAACCCGACCCGTTTTTGCAAACGGGTCGGTTTTCCGGACCCGAACCCGACCCGGTTCGCGAGGACGCGCGGCGAGCAAGGCAAACAGCGGGTTGTGCGAGTTAGCAACAGCGGGCGTGCGAGCTGGCAGCAGCGGCCAGTGCTATGGGGGGCAGCATCAGGACAAGCGGCGGGTAGTTCAATTTAAACGAGTTTTCATGTTGACTCGAACCGTGGGGTAAACCAAACCCAACCCGTTTTTTCAAACGGGTAATTGGGAACCCGAACCCGACCCTTTGAAATCAGGTCAGGTCCAACCTCGAATTTTTTCGGGTGGTTCGAGTAAGTTTTTCGTGTCATGTCAAATATTGGCACCCCTACTAGATTTTATCTTCCCATTACAACAAGCAAAGAAGATAAAGCCCTAGCCACACAGTTCTCCTCCTCCAACCAAAACACTTTCGAATTTTCTCTCCAAAACCGAGAGCTCCACTCGGATTTCCTGCTTTTGAATAGGATAGAAATCGGAATGGTTGTGGGGACACTTACTAATATATATAAACATATATTATGTAACTAAAATAACATAAAAGAAAAGAATATATTAATTAAACATTAACTATTATTAATATTTTAATTAATTAAAAGAAAATAATGTAAAAACTAGGGGTGTTCAATTCGGGTCGAACGGGTGGGTTTCGACAAAAACCCGACTTGAGCCCGGATATAAACGGTCAACCGAACCCGACCGTTTAGCTAGTGGGTCAGAAAATTAAACATCGAACCCAGACCCGCACGGGTTTCCCGAGGTTGACCACCGACCCGCACGGGTTCCCGGGTTGACCCGACCCGATCGCCGGACTTTGTTTGATTCAAAAAACGGGGGCGAGACGGCGACTGTGAGGCGTTGTCAGTCGGGTGCGGAGAACTGCGGCAAGAGCACCAGTGCAGTGCAGGGAACTGCCACGCGCAGGTCTCCGGGACCCGTTGACGCCAGCCACGGTTTGCAGGGGCTTAGGCGGTGCGGACGGCTTGACATAGCTGTACGCTGGACGGCGGACGCAGCTGAGGCTGAGAGGACTTGACGCATCTGGGGCGGATGACCCTGACAGCAGGCGCGCGAGGACCGAGGAGTCGAGCTGATCGAGGACCTCGCGGCTCGAGGTCGTGT